GATATCTAGGAAGACATTATTTTATTCCCCATAATAATTCTCTCAAACGGAAGGCGACGAAAGGAGACCGCTGATCTGTTCTATATGTGGCATAATTCTATATTAATTAATAAAATTGACATTAAAAGAAAATTAAAGACAAATCAAAACAATCGCTCGATCGATTTCTGATCATTAGCAGACTATCCTATGGTCGTGTCAATTTTACATTTGTATACATTCCCGTTAAGTTCTATTGAAACATACTGTACTAAACAGTCTCATTGTATTTACTTATCAAATTTAGTGTTTTAAAAATAAAACTCACTCTAAATAGTAATATAGAGAAATATATAATAAATTCATATTAAAATAAACATGTTCATTTTAGTCGTTTCATTTTCTTTTACTTCGACAATTCGATTGGATTACACCAAAAAAAAAAAAAAAAACTTAAATTGTAAAAAATATTTTCATTTAAAAACTAAACTACTAGACTGATTTTAATAAGATTACTATAGGTTTAAGAAAATTTGTAGATTAACTATCCTTTCAGATACAAAAAAAAAAAAGAATTTTCCAAGTCGGTTTACAACTGACCGAGTTATGAGCCAACAGATAAAAAATCTACTCTCTCTCTCTCAAACACTTCTTTTTGAAATCGATTTTGAAAAGACCACGTCCGTTTACTAATGTGCCACTATAGACATACAGAACGTAGGTATATATATATAGTGCGACTTTGAACCAGTGGTCGATCTAGAGAGTGGTAACCGTCGTAAAAGCACGGATTTTCCAGTAGCTGTTACGCTTGAAAGGCGGGTTCACGTTTGCAATTAGACTTTCATGTTTTAAGAGGGACGCTGCTGTCCATCTTTCGACTATTAAGTTCCCTCAGTCGCCTACGGAAGAAGGAATAGTGTGAATAAACCGTGTGGTCCCGGCGTAGAAGTCCATTCTATGCCAGGACCACACAGCATAGAACAATAGTATTTGTTCAAATTTCCGAATCTACTATTTTCTTAATCTTCTAACCTCTTTATTTTCCGTGGTTTCAGCTTACGAAACAAAGATAAATTCCTCATCTATAGCTGAATATTTGCACTGTAAAAATGTTCCGCTTTTGTTTTACACACTAGTTCTACAGACGACGCTGCTGGCGCGATGCAGTTTTGTCTTTCCACAAGCACAAGTCATTGTACTGCAGTAAAGAATATCTTGTACGTTGACCCAAGAACTAACTACTCCTCATATCAAATTTCAACATAGTAGTTTACCCGTGGCATATGTTTCAGACATGGTCAAATTAGTTTTATTATGTACAAATTGTATTCCTGTATGGGTTACCACTTTCCAAAATGACTACTAGATCAAAGCCCGCACTTGTATGTTGTTATGTGTGGGAAACACTCCTCTCTAATGCATAATTTTTAAAAATATCAAAATTATTTTTGAGAGGCCTTAAAAAAGCTACATTTTTTTTTTTAAATAAAAACGTTATTTATGTTTAAATTAAATTGACATAAACTGAATCTATCTCGAATGTTAAACGCTTAGATTAAGGACTATGTAATAAATACATAGCCATGATAATGTCACTCAACGCCATCTAGTTAGCAAACTAAGCAAAAGTTTGTACTAAACAATTGACAGACAAATACAATAATTTATTGTATATATAAATTTATCAAATGTAGAAATTGTCAAGACCAATGGCAACATATGTTTCGGTTATAAATAGTTGTATCGTATAGGAATCGAATCCACGACAACTGGAAGGTGCGTTAGACCGCTACTAAATACTAGAATAATGAATCCTTAATCTAAGGTTAAACTCCTATACTAACAAATTGACAATCCACCTGCGCTTTTTTTCCTAGCACACCGCCAGTTGGTACTTAAACCACACCGTTCTTGGGATAAAAATCAGCTTTACATGCATCGTAATAAGATTCATTTTATACAAATCGCCGTATGTAATAGGCAACTCGCGCTGCTACGATACGAAACCTTCTTTGCATAACGGTGGAAATTTCCAACATAACATTGACTTCCCAAAAATTATATAAAATAACAAGTTCACTTTAAGTTGATCGTGTCTGGATACCTTTTTAATGTCCATTGCAGAAAAAAACATAGCTGTCAAATTTATTTTTTAATTTTGAACATGAGTTGTATCACCTCGATTTATTTCACCAATAAAAAAAAATGCAAAGAAAGGTTGACGGGTCAGTGCTGTCATATCGGCGGATTGTACGAAATAAAATCATACGGATTCGAATAAAACAGGTTTTTAACTGTTATTAAAGTCATAACACTGCGTTGCTTGTACACTCATATTATTGAAATCACATTGTATCCTTTAATCTTTTTGTCATCCAATTGTCTATAGGTATCTCCATCGCAGGCTTCAAAGCATAGGGAGTAAGATACTCACAGGTATCGACCCGCTGGGTTAATTTTTACTATATTCATAACTATAATTTTATAATACCCTTGACTTAACTGAGTAATCAACAAACAGCGGAAATCTAACGTTTTATCAAATAGAAACGTGAAAAAGCCTAATTTCATAGATTCAAGAAAGCCCCTGTCGAACACACACTCACCTAATGTATTACCAAAACCGAGCCGAGTATATTATTATTTCGAATAGAGTACACTCAACAGCATATATTACTAACTCTCAAATGCGTAACATTTTTATTATAATCAATTCCTTCAGATACCTTATTAATTAATAAAGAATCTACACGTCTCATGACGAGGAAGGAATACGTCACTAATTTATTCCAAAAGAGAGAAGAAGCTGGGAAAAAGCACGATGCACTAGTGCAAAGAAATCACTAGACAAATCGTCACACCAGGCCGCCTGGCTAGCTTAGTAGTGTAAATTTTGCAATATTTCGAAAGCCTTTCATTAATATGTACACGGTAGAAAATTGTACAGATACAGTTTAAATAGAATTTAAACATATGCTTCATTTTAATTGCTACATCTAACTTTTATAGATAAGGCCGACAGCTAACTTAAAATTTAACTATCATTAACACGCTATATACATGTAATGTAAATGCTAAGACGTATAAATAAAAAAATCAAAGTTGTTCCCGTTGCAGTTGATAAAATAACAAATATTTAATTACCCCAAAAATTATACTAAATTATAAATCTACTTATTAAACTGGTGTTTATCCTGTATATATATATATATATATATATATATATATATATATATATATATATATATATATATATATATATATTTGTTTAACTTGGTTTACTGATTTCATAATATCTTGATGTTAAATACCATTTAAATACGCGCAAAATAGATGGGTTTCCGTAGTAAAGCAAAATAGTTTAAATTTATTTTACTTTTTTTTTTACGTGTAATTACGTCATTTATATACTTTTTTTTATTTGAAAGAGACATTTTGGTACATTTAACTAGAGAAATTGATATTTTTCAGCCACAATAAATCTAAAAATAACGATAAATTAATTTTAACAATAAATTTTTTTCAGTTGCTCAGTAATCTATTAAAACTTTGTCAGGGTATTTTATTTCTATGGGTTCAGTGACACGTAGTCCCTTACACCATGCTGTAACACGAGGATTATTGAACGAGACACTTATTATTAAATCAAACGGTCTACGCCATGGATTAGAGGCTGAACGTAACGTAGCCTTGTCTGTTAATAAATAAAATGGATGATATAATTATCGTTACATTCGGCTGAGTTAACTCAGCCGTACTCATATTACTCATCCATCCCAGTTGACCACACGAAAATATAGCTGATATAATTATCGTTACATTCGGCTGAGTTAACTCAGCCATACTCATATTACTCATTCACCCCAGTCGACCACTCGAAAATATAGCTAATATAATTATCGTTACATTCGGCTGAGTTAACTCAGCCGTACTCATATTATTCATTCACCCCAGTTGACCACTCGAAAGTATCACTAAATTATTTATTCAACTAAGTAATCATACATAACCGTTGTTAATATATTAGTGGGTCGTCTATAAACATAACACTAGCTAATATAACATATTATCTAAGTATAATTGTATTACAAATTCATTAGTATGAGTACATTGTATAATCACGGTTAATGTATAATGTTCGAGTTACAGCTTCGTTGTATAGCGAAAGTTGTGGAGTCTGTTACCAAATAGAGTCGCAGCGACATCTATTGATAATTTAATATTTGATTAGAAACATCAGTGTTACCTGATTATATCAAATTAAATATGGTCTTAATTAAACTCAAATTCCTATAACTACAATATTAGACTACGCTAAAAATATAGTTGCCATCCGACCAGATATTCCCGTGTTTGGGATTCCACCGTTTGTTACAGTCTAGTTTTTTTTTTAAATATCAGAATTAGTTCTATATTTTCAGTTGACCGTGTGTTAACTTGACCTATTCTCAAAATGAGTTATGGCTGAGTTAACACTACCAAGACAACTAGTAAAATAATAACGTATGCATTATATTACTATTATCTCTATATAACGAAGCCATATACACAATACAAATAAATAAATTAACAGACAAAATGCATATAAAAACGTGATGATTACATTAACAATTTAATAATTACATTAATAATAATTAATAATAAACAGTCACGAATAAAAACGTGTCGAATGTAGAACAGTCTTAATAAAGAATTTCGTAAATATATTCGTTATAAATGAATGTTTTCAAACCAAATGGGACCTTGTGTACATTCACATTAGACAATATTTCAATTTAAACAAGTTATATAAGGAATATTCCATAGTCACTGCACCGAAAGTCCCATCTGATCAGTGTTTATAACTAAATTCATTAGCTCCTTATCTATTCAAGGATTATAATATTTATTCTAAAAAAAAATGTTGTATCATATCAAAATTAATTTAATTATAGATAAATAAATAAATTTTTAAACATATATTCAAGACGAGAGACAAAAATCATAAACACGTCTTTCAAATAGGCCAAAATAAAAACTGGCAAACCACAGATGTTTATTATGACAATAATTTCTGACTCCAAAGATATATTTGGAAACTGGTCAGACAATCACGAAGTTGATACGTGAATATATTCGATATAAATAGTTATAAAATTATTTGGTTTCCTTAACAATAAATTTACCACCAAATCACTGTTGCACGCAAAACTAAACTCTGTGACCAGTAAGTTTAGGGTCATAATCGGGAAAGCCTTCAGAGCATCGAAGTACATCATAATAGAATTTAGACTAAATCAGCACATAAATAAGGATTCATTAAACTTCATAGCAAATCGAGGATTCTTTCACATTCAACAACATTCGTGCTTCTAAACTCAGCGATTTAGTGATAAGCCAGCCAACTTTATTAACGTTTACAAAACAATTATTTGGCAATTGACGAAACCAATTTCCTAAAAAACAATATTCGAGCCATTACAGTTAAATAAATATATGATTACACAATTCACTATTAATACGTAGGCCTGAAAACTTATTATAGTTTCTGTGATGCACTATTAATGGACGCACCGAGTACTAAAACACAAAATTATACAGGGCCTCCCGGAGACGGCACACCCAACTGAAACTTAGATTGAACTTTGACTATTTATGAAATTGGTCAACTTTTTTCAACTTGAAAAAACTATGGACGTAGTATAAAACCAACCAGTATATAATTTTGATTCTTTTACACAAACCGAGTAGCTATACGGGGACTTTATTTGCACTATGTTTATTAAAAAAAAAATCCAAGTTCCATAAATATCAACATTAGTTTCGGGTCGGTATATTCTCTCTAACATCTGCATACAGACCACTAGATACACACACGTATAATAATATAGTAAACAATTTGGCATCATGTCGTATTAAATTTTACCTGATCCCATCAATCTTAGAACATCGATCGCAGAAGCGTTCAACAGTAAAAATATTTTACCAAATATCTTTGGAATTCACTGCGACAACGCTTACCTATTATTACACGCGGTTGTATCTTGTTTTTCTTAGTACATATATTTATTTTCATTTACAGATCGCTTTCGTAACAGCAAAGCAACTAATATTGTCAAATTTATATAAAAACATCGAACAAGGAAATCTCACTCTTACCCTCTCAATCATAAAAACCTATTTCAGTTCTCTTTCTTTTTCGTTAAATTTTCCAATCTGAAAGCCAGTGACAAAACATTTTAATCACTAAAATAGGTTTGTTGGGGGTTTTAATTTTTACAAATAAGGGGGTTGAAGTATAAGGCCTTTATACACGTGCCGGGCAACTAGTAGATTTGACAGGTCTGTTTGATGTACGAAAAATGTCATAAGCGACGGCATAGACAAGCATTTCTCTCCGCGTTTATTTTTTTTACAATTACGAAAATGCATTTTTAAAGCCGATATTAAACAATTCATGTTTTCTTTTCAAATCCTACTTAAATTGGATTCAACTATCGATTGTGAAATTAGTTCAGTGGTGTATCTATCAGAGGGTTAGACGGGGCCCCGGGGCCCCAAGCTCAGGTTCCCCTCTGACTATGACTTACAAACTATAAATTGAACTAGTCAAAATTTCTCCCACATTCGGAATTTGAATAAACCAGATTCCAAGAACGCGACTTTAATAATGGCAACTTATTTGAAAAAAAATATGGGAATTCCCCCAGCAAATCTAGAACATTCTTGTTTGGAATTTGCGGGGAACTCCCCTATATTCTTAGACTGGTTTATTTTTTCCCCCAGGGCCTTTGGTTACCTAGCTGTGCCACTGAATTAGTTATTTCTTAGTGCCTCGACGTATATAAATGCCATATATATATATATATATATAGAGTTTGGCACTGAGAAGGACGTAGCTGGTAAGTTCTGTTACTAAAACCAGTCAAAATTACTCCGGCGCGTGTAAAAAGGCGTTAATTAATCTTCTCAAAGTACACTTTGTTATTGGATCCCAAACTATACAGAAGCATAGATAATATAATAAATAAGCCTAATAGAGCCGCGTCTAAAAAATAAAAAAAAAAGCGAAAACCTATCCTACATTTTATATTCCTTGTTGATTAAGATTATTCACTAACAGACTGTTCATTTTATATACAGATATAGTCACTTTTATATTATTTGTATAAAACATGCACAGTTATTATGATACGTTGTATACAATGTATTACAATCCAATATTGCCTTTCGATATCGCTCGTTTTAGTGTCGCCACGATAATTGCATTGAACTTGTTGGTAACTGTACACTGCAGTAAGTTATTACGATTTAACTACACTGTATTATTTATTTATTTATTAACAATTATAATAATATACAGGGTGGATGGGACAGGTTGGTTGAAACGAAAACAACTGATTCAGATTAATAATCTGAGGGCCTACCATGAATACCTACCTGCTTTCTCCCACGAACACTCAGGTTATGGAATGAGCTCCCTGCCGAGGTTTTCCCGAAAGACTACAGCATAGGGTTCTTCAAAAGGGGGTAAAGAGGTTTCTTCAGGGTCGGCAACGCGCGCGTAATACCTCTGGTATTGCAGGCGTTCATAGGCTACGGTAACCGCTTACCATCGGGTGGGCCGTATGCTTGTTTGCCACCTCAGTGGTATAAAAAAAAAGAAGTATTTTCCGAAATTTCAGGGACGAACGAAACAGAAATTTGATGTTAAATTTACATAATACATGCTGATTAAAATTATTAGAAATGTTAAAATATCGTTCCTTTGGACTATTAGAATAGGATTTATTATGAACGAAATGCTAAGCTCCATTTACTGGGTATATTTCGATACGAACAAAAACACGAAATTGAGCCCGAAATTTCGGAATTTCATTTCATGGTAGACCACCTGAATCAGATGGTAGATTATTTTCCCATTGGAAAATACACAACAATCATGTAATTAACGATTCTTAGTTTTGAAGCCGCGCAATGTATTTGAAATTTTACGATACGCGCGACGCGTACAAGGCGCGCTCAATAGCGCTTTTTTATAGGTAGTTTTCGTACGCTTGGGGCGTTGACCTTTCACAGCAGATTGATGATCGCGGTAGTATTTTAATACGTGTATTACATTGCTGTTTTTTTTTTTTTTTTTTGGTATTTCATAGTAATTCATTATAAAATAATATTATTTATTATTATGATATAGTATCAGAGATTATATGACTTTAAATGAAAAAGAAACACAGAAATTAAAAAGAAAAAAATTTAAATTTTCCGAAAAGATTTTCCACTTCCAATTCGTAATAATGGTCTGATTTCACTATTAAAATTTTCGCCAACCTGTCCTTTACACCCTGTATAAACAGTTTACATGTCATAGACTAAATTTAACAGGCAAAATTACTTTTAACTTCTGCCGTATATATAATCTTTTCCGTTGCATCAGTACAATACAATACGGAATTGTGCTCGTAATATTGCGTATGACTGTACATAAATGAAACATTTGACATATCACTGACATATGTATGAACATAGATACAGTCACAAAAAATGCATAGACTAAGTAAAAGATTAAATGCGGAAAGGAATGTAATATAAGAATCAAAATTCGAATATGTCAAAGAGTAAAAAGTGTTTACGTATAGTTCTGTTATTATTTATTAATATTACCTTGATTATGTCAAAGAAATAAAATTAAATAAAGATAATTAAAAATATATTAGATTATTATAGAATAAGAAGAAAATAAAAGAGGAAATCCAGCGAATGTCTTTGTACAAACAAAATAACATTAAAATATAAAAAAAAAATATACATATTTGCAGCCTTTTATATAAAACACGCTGTGTCAAAAGTAAAAAAGGATAAAAATTAAAAAGTTATTTTAACATATTATTGTCTATGGCTATTCATAAAGGTTGTTCAGTGTAAGGAACAGCGTGGCGTGAATTTACACGGTACAGAGGAATAACACCTCAGTCCTCAGGAATGGCAACGCATGGGCGGTATCATGGACGGAAACAGTATACTCTGTTATGTCCACGGTACTGCTCATGTCTACAGGCGACGGTTACCACTTTCCATCAGGTGGGCCGTCAGCTTGTTTGCCATTCTAAGTCGTATAAAAAATAATATCATCGCTGGATTTCGGTTCAAATTTTAAATAGTAATAAATAATTATAATTAATAATTCATTATTCATAAATTGTGTCAAGTCATAGAGTAAAAAAAAAAAAAAAAATTGTAAATTTCAATATTACAATTATTAAACATATTCGATTTTCATTCCAATACAAATTGTAAAGTGTAAAACAATTTAAAATATCAATTTGTCAAAGAGTAACAATAAAGCAACGACAGTGGGGTCAGTGTTAGGTCGTACGATTCGTTCGGAACACAATCACTACCTGACTTTGCTCGTATCGACTCGAAGTAAACTACAGTTGCATCTAATATCTGTATTAACATACACCAGTCTACTTCTTGGCGTTGGAACCGCTTTTGTTTTGACGGTTTTCTTGTAACGGAATCTGAAATTGAAACAAACATGCAGTAAATAATCTACTTCTTAACGCACGGCGTAAAACCCTTTACGGGGCAGACAGAGAGAGATATAGATTATTAGCTGATCCAGGAAACGTTGTTTTGCTATATAATATTTTATCTTATTCAATATTGTAGAACATACTTTTGTTCTATCACCAATAGTTTCCGCAGCGCACGCGATCAAAGATATTTTATAGCATTTTTTTACACCTTAAATTACGTTACTAAAGTTTTAGTAAGGGTCCCTAATCTTTTCTAGCAATAAATATAGCCTATGTTACTCGGAGTGAATGTAGCTTTCTAATGGTGAAAGAATTTTTGAAATGGGCAAAGTAGTTTTTGAGTTTATTCATTACAAACATACACACAAAAATACAAATCTTTCCTTTTTATAATATTAGTGTAGATTCATCTCTTGCTCTATGCAATTTTAAAACCAAAATATAAATATGTTCACAACTGTAGTCGTGATGGGGTAGTCAGAGACGTTAATCGACTACTGTTGTTGAAGTGAATTCGACACTCACATTTTGCCGAGCATATTTGAATCCAGAGTAGAGGAGGCGAGCTTAGCGCCCTCACTTGGATCAATAAGTTTTTTTTATTGCGCTATTTTATCAATATGTACATGTTCTTCTCAACCGACTTCAAAAATGTTTTGTACCCATCACTGATCGTATCCGGTATGGTAGGTCTAGAAACGCTCGAGGTAAGGCGAAAGTGCAATTTGATGATGCACTATTATCGGTTGCTCAACGGCGGAATAGACAATCCTGCAACTCTTAGCCGTTGTTCTCTGTACGCACCCCAACGCTGCATGCGATTGCGTGCTTGTCGACTACTATCGGCACCACCGGTTCGCACCTGTACTGCTCAGTTCGCTCCCACGTATCAGGCTATTTCTCTGCTCAATTCTCTGATTGCTCAGCAGCCAGATATTGACATATTTAATGACAAAATAGATATATTTTTTAAATGTTGTACAACATTTGTAAGTTTGTAAAATAAACCTGTGGCTCACTACACGTTTTGGGAGACTGTAAGTGTGGTGAGTAATTTTCAAATAAATAAATAAAAAGAAGGTTTTCAATTTAATTGTATATTTTTGTTTGTTACCTCATAACTCTGTCAGTTATAAATCGATTTGGAAAATTCTTTACCTGAAAGGATGTACTTAGACTTTGCTCTTATAGAAATATTATCAAAAATGGTCTAGTAGTTTAGTTATAAAATTAAAGTAACTGGTATTTGCATATTTTTTTTATTAGATGAAAATGAAATGGTAACCCCGCCTGCGCTAACGGGATGCGCTGGCAGAGCACCAGTGAAGGGTGATAGATGAGAATGGAAACAGGCCAGTTAGCCCATCGTGATGAATTCATCTGGAATTAACCATGATAGTTTCCAGGCGGTAGCGCGAGGAGATCGACCTAGTTGGGTATATTGCTAGCAATGGGATTCTCAGTGTCCATTACTAACAATCCCTTTCCCCCCATAATTGGTAGTTCATAGTCGTTTTTGGAACACAATTTTAAATTACTATTGCTTGTAATATTTGGACAGTTATCTTCGTTTATATTTGTACAGATTTATTTATTTAACCGAAGCCGCAATATTTGTGAAAGTCTTAAATTATTGTCACTTTTTTTCCTAACGTAACTTGGAATACCATACCAAACCATTCCATCTTTATAGCCCATCTCATGGTAACATACAAAAATAAACGGTAAGTACCATGAGTGTCACAGAGTAAACTAAAATGCCCATAGATTAAGGTGGTTACACTTCTATATCGTGTAATTTTTTTACTATCAAAATTGAACACAGCCATGCAAACGTGGCTGCTTCACGGCGGAAACGCGAATGGGAGACAAACAGATATAGTTATGCTTTATCGATTTGACTATTGTATACTTTTTTGATTGTCGATTGTTGTAAATAATTTATTAATGTACATAATAGTGGCTTATAATACATTACCGTCGCCCGCTGGTCCTCCATGCGGCCGGCCTGCGCGCGCATCAGCTGTGCAAAGAAGTCATCATCCGGCACAGTCTTGGGCCGCTCTTCCGGTTTTGGGCGAGGCAATTCTGAACGCTGATCTTCTAGACGGGATCCCTGTAATAATATTACGTTATTATTATTATTTGTCGTGAGGTCCCGGCAGAGAATAGGCCACACCTTTTTTTCCCGTGGATGTCGTAAGAGGCGATTAAGGGTTGGGCAGCAGCCTCCCGCTTTAAACATCTCTAAAACCTAATCGCGGTTGCCGATCCGCCTGCGAAGCGTGACAATTACTGGCAAATCCCTCCAAGGGATAGGGGGGAAAGGGATTGTTTCCCACTTTCTAGAACAGAGAATAGTTAGTATTTTCTATTTTTGCAGACGTATCTCTCGTATTTAGTATATTTATATGTCGTAAACCCCAAACGTAACGATTGTTAGTAATGGAGACTGAGAATCCCATTGCTAGCAATATACACAATCAGGTCGACCTTTTCGCGGTTCTCCCTGGAAACTATCATGGTTAATTCCTGATGAATTCATCATGACGGGCTAACTGGCCTGTTTTCATTCTCATCTATCACCCTTCACTGGTGCTCCGCTAGCGTATCCCGTTAGCGCAGGCGGAGTTACCATACCAATTTCACCCATCAAAAAAAAAACCCTCCAAGGGAGAGACTTTTCTTTAGCAGTTGACGGTTAATGCTTGATAAATGATAATTCCTTAAAACTAGTGTTAGTATTGTCTCAAAACAATACTAATAGTTTTTTCCTACCACTTGCCAAGAACACTATATGGTACAAGTTATGTACCTATTATTGCATAACGCTTTCCATTACTACTATACTATAGATACATGTTCTATTTTTTGAGAATTTTATTTTCGTTTTTTTTTTATACAACTTAGAATGGCAAACAAGCAGACGGCCCACCTGATGGAAAGTAATAACCGTCGCCTATAGACATGAGCAGTACCATAGGCATAACAGAGTATACTTTTTCGCCCATGATACCCTCCATGCGTTGCCATTCCTGAGGACTCAGATGTTATTCCTCTGTACCCAGTAAACTCACGCCATATCCCACCCTTCAAACCGAAACACAGCCATGCAAACACGACTGCTTCACGGTAGAAACACTAATGGGACAGAGCTACCGAAGCAATCGACTTGTACAAAGTCTCCCTCTGGATTTGATAATATTGTTTTTGCTGAGAATAAATTCTGAATCTATAATTTGCAAGTATCACGAAGCTCCTTTGTTCAGCGGTGGACAGTTAATAGCTAATATGCAGAATAGCGATCACAATAATCTTAACACTAGATACAAATATAAACTAGCTGTTGTGAAGTAAACTTTCTATAGAAAAAGTTATTAGGTCTTTTATAGGAATGGGCATTAAATGTTATATTAAGATACCGGAGGATATGTTGAAACAACCTTTTAAAACTGTTATTTAAAAAAACACTTATTGGACAAAGCCCGTTACACACTAAATGATTACTTGAATGACAAATGTGCATGATGTTAGTCGATGATTTAGTACATTACATTACCTGTACGCGAGCGATCATGTCCAGGAAGTCGTCCTCCGGCTTCGTGGAGGTAGTCTGTTGCGTGCGGAGCCCTGGCAGGGAGGTGCCTTTACTCTCCTTGCTGAGTTTCTTCGGCACGGGACGGAGCTCGGCGCGTTGGGAGTCCATCCTCTCCGATTGTAGGTCCGTGATCATGTCCAGCATTGCGTCGTTTGGACTGGCGTGGACACAACAACAATTATAATATACATGCATAAATATAGTTGAAATAGATCTTGACTCTTCTTTGCATAATTTTTTTTTATTGGTGAAATAAATCAAGGTGATATAATTCATGTTCAAAATTAAAGGAAAAATGATTAAGAAAATTAATTTGACAGCTATATTTTTTTTCTGCAATGAACAATAAAAAGGTATCCAGACACGATCAACTTTAAGTGAACTTGGTCTTTTATATAATTTTTGGGCATTCAATGTTATGATGGAAATTTCCACCATTATGCAAAGAAGGGTTAATTAATGTTATAAAATCACATATAACGTGGCTAACATTGTTTCAATGGCGTGCAAAATGGTAGTATTATTTACTTGTATACATTTCAGATATTTCCAGACGTTACACTAACAATATTTCTAACTACAATCAAAATAATTCCTATGAGATACATTCATTTAAAAAATTAACATGTCAAAATTAATTTTACAAATTCTTTTTTGGAATAAAAACATTTCTCCTGGAGCCAACGTTTTAGATTGCCTTCAAAATGATTTAATAGTAGTTTCCGTATATATTTTGGGCGAAACACACAACTTCCTTTTCAAATTTTTAAATGGAAATATCACATTTATATCGATTAAAATCATGTATTGGTATTTCTCCATAAGATTACGCATCATGACATGGACTGTCCCGAGCTTTTGAGTGAAATTAAATATGTAGTCCCTCACAGTATCCCTAGGTATCCCATCAATAAGATATTGTATGTGCCACTGTGCAAAACTAATTTAGCATTGAATGCTCCGCTTGCAAGAATATGCAGTAACTATAATCATATATGCGGTTTAGATCCGGATATAGACGTAAGCCATGGCTCGTTGGCAGTGTTTCGCGGTAAGGTACTGAACACCATGTAGATTTGATGGCATTGCCCAGTATTGTTTTATATTTAATTGATTTTTTTAATAAAGAATATGTAATTGTAAATTTAATTTATTATATTAATTATATTATGACATTTATATGCATGTAATCTGTAGTCAATGTTGTGTACGCCTGCTATAGGTATGCATATCAGCGTGCTACACAAAAAAATGTTATTTGTTGGTGTGGCTAATTGGAAATAAATAAAAATAAAATAAAAATTAAAACAAATTAATACATACGTTACAGATTCTATATTTGGATTGTCATCCGTCATTGCCACAAAACAAACAGTGTGTAACAAAGAAACCGTCTCATTTACTGAGATATTAAAAATGTTTCTTTATAAATGAATATAAATTCTGTACACAGAGTCGGCCATTCGGCAACGCGAACGATCGGGTAAGGATTGTTTATCAGCGTGTACTGATTGAGACGTGATAAGGGGGATTTAAGAGGGGCAGATAAATGTCAACACGTGACGTATACGCCGGTTTTAGCCATAAATAGCCTTTTGAGAGATGCATTCTTCAAGTGACAGATTACTTATCAATATAACATTTTATTATATAAATAAAAATCTATTTTTTTTTTAATGGACGATAATGGAATAGTCACCGCGCCTGCGCTAACGGTATACACTGGCGAGGTACCAGTGAGGCATGATAGGTGAGGATGAAAGCAGGTCAGTTGGCCAATAGTGATGAATTCACAAAAAATCAAGATGGTTGGTAGGATCCAGGAGGAACCGCGTGAAGGTCGATCTGATAAGGTATATTGTTAGCAATGGGGCCTTTAATCCTATTATTAACAATACCCCAAAATAAAAATCAATTTTTTTTTGATGGGTGTAAATGGCATGGCAACCCCGCCTGCGCTAATGGGATACGCTGGCGGAGCACCAGTGAAGGGTGATAGATGAGAATGAAAACAGGCCAGTTAGCCCATGATAGTTTCCAGGGGGAAACGCGAGGAGGTCGACCTGGTTGGGTATATTGCTAGCAATGAGATTCTCAGTCTCCATTACTAACAATCCCTTTCCCCCCTATAAAAATAAATTGTAAAGTGTATATTGTAAGCCCATCACTTCAGAACGTCTGCAACTACTTGGCGAATTCTTTTAATATTGTTTGTAATTGTCAGGTTAAAGTTTGTATGAATGAAAATGTCAGAAAAATCGTATGGAAAAGTGAAAAGTTCTATTTTATTCAAGAGTTGATGAGTGTTACATTCACCAAAACTTTAGTTTTTTTTAAGGATTATGAATGGGAGGATAGTCTACAGGCTACGGTAACTGCTTTTACCATCAGACGAGTCGTATGCTTGTTTACCACTATAGTTATATAAAAAAAAATATCGTAAATACTATTTTTACTTAAAAGTAGTTCTGGCAAGAAATAGTATTTCAAGTTAAATAACCAGCAAAGGAGTGGCTTAGTTGCACAATATTCATTCTTCAAAGAAGCCTTAAAAATAAAAATTGCCCTGATGTAGTCCAAACTTAGGCGCTCGAATAAGAAAATTTATATGCAGTTATAAACGTACACAGTCTGTAATTATCTGGAATATGACCGACAGCTCCATACCCACTTTGTGCAAGGCGATCACTGCAATTCTATTTTCTTTAACACCTCATTCCATATTGTTATTTGATAGTAAACACGAAAAAATATGTGAAATGGCTCAAAATCTTTGATTTTGAACTTTTTTAAATTAATAAACGTGTTCCAGAGGGGATTGCTTGGGTACGTCTGTCCCATTCGTATTTCAACCGTCAAGCAGTTGTGTTTGCATGGCTGTGTTTCGGTTTGAAGGGTGGGATATGACAGTGAATTTACAGTGTACAGAGGAATAACACCTGAGTCCTCAGGAATGGCAACGCATGGGGGGTATCATGGACGAAACAGTATACTCTGTTATGTCCATGGAACTGCTCATGTCTATAGGCGACGGTTACCACTTTCCATCAGGTGGGCCGTCTGCTTGTTTGCTATTCTAAGTTGTATAAAAAAAAAAATCCAAATTATTAAAAAGTTGAAAAAAAAAAGAAAAATGTTTATGTAACAGTTTTTATGGCCAGACTAATTAGAACTCAATGTAAAGGAACCAAAATTTGTTGAATTTATCACACAAACATTTGCTAGACGAAATCAGTAACAAGTCGAAACGTTCAATAAATTAATTGAATTTAATCTGTACCACTAACATAACTGAAGACTTTATCTATATATTAATACGCGAAGGAAAAACTTTGTTTCCCTTTTTACGAAATTTGTGCGGACAGAGAAGTATGAAATTTGGCACACTTATAGTTTATATAGAGGAGTCTCTCTTTTCATTTAAGAGTTTCCCCTTGTCGGTGCAACTAACTCATGCATCATCTTCCAGCCAGCTCTATCCCAGGCCATATCCTTGATCTCCCTATACGACATGACACCTAGTGTTTCTTTTATCTGTCCCATGTAGTTATTCCTCGGTCTTCCTCTTCCTCTTTTGCCCTCTATTTTTCCTTCTACTATGCTCTTTAAAAAATCGTCATGTCGTATAAGGTGGCCCAGCATTTTGCCTCTTCTATTCTCTATTATTTTAATTAATGTTCTTTTCTCGTTCACTCTTTTCAGGACTTCCTCGTTATATAGAGGAGTGCAGAATGTTGTTATTATTTTTTTAATTATGCAAAAAAATACATTAAATTAATAAAAAATATTACACACACTACCATGTATTTGACACACACACGCATATATACTCTTTTGTATATTGTTGACGTCTGTGGTCAAATTGAGAATAGATTAATATTGTTTGCCTTTAATATCATTTGTCTATAGTCTTACTGAATGTCAAACGTAACAATAATAAATTCATTTATTACAATATATGTTATGGTTGAATTTCGACCATCCACCGACCATTAGGTTGTTTAAATTTTCATAAAATTCAATTGACCAGATATTATTGATATTCTTACACATACCTTGGGTTTTTGTTCCCACTGCTGGCCGACCTCTGTAGCTTGTTGTTGGACCCCTTGGGTTTAGGCCGGTTCTCTTTGTTGGCATTCAGCGTGGCGCGCTGCTCGTCCATCCGCTCCGACTGACACCGGCTGAGCAGGTCGAAGAACGAATCCACCGGGTTCTCCTCGGATTCCGTTCTGACCACTTCGTGTTTCTTCTCGTTGTCTAATTCGGACTCTTTTTTCTTATTGTCTGGTGTTATCTGAATGTAAAATAGAGGATTTAGATATGTATGTAAATACTTAATAAAATATAAAAATAATAAATAAAAAATATATAAATAAAAATAATAAAATAGCAATGATCATACGAGGTTTGTCCGGAAAGTACGTATAAAAGTTTTTTAAAAATTTTATTTTACAATTATTCAGGTAAATCAATTTTATCCCCTTCAAAGTACTCCCCCTGTGACATAATGCACTTGTGCCAACGCCGTTTCCACTGTGAGAAGGCTCCTTGAAAGTCCTCTGGTTGTAGGTTTCTCAGCTGCCCCGTCGTAGCTTTTTTTATCTCATTTATGTCCCCCAAATGCCGCCCCCGAAGTACCAATTTGGTTTTTGGGAACAAGAAGAAGTCACACGGGGCCAAATCCGGCGAATAGGGGGGTGTTCGGTCACCGTAATGGAATTTTTACTCAAAAACTCACGGAACGATCTTGGCGCAAATTTTTTTCATTTGAAGTTCGTTTCTTAGAATTTCGTGGACCACGGTTTTGCCCAAATTAAGCTCTTCAGCCACCTGTCTGACCGTTAAACGACGGTCCCCATTAACACAAGTTCGAATTCTTTCCACGTTTTCGTCGGAATGTGAAGTGGAAGGACGTCCTGAACGTGGGTCATCTTGAACGCTTTCTCGGCCCTCTCTGAATCTTTTTAGCCACTTGTGGACGGTTGGTTCCTTCACAGCATCATCCCCATAAACTGTTCTGAGATCGGCAAAAATTTCACGGCCATTCTTGCCGAGTTTCGAGAGATACTTGATTACGACGCGCTGCTCTTCAACGGAAGCGGGCTCCATGCCGACGGGGTTTCGTTAAGAGGTAACTTCACAGATGGCGTGACAAGCCAGTTCGCACCGCACGGCGGTCAGACCAGAACTGAAGCATTGTTAGGGACATAAGGAAGGGGTCCTGCGCTTACCTGGCCTCCCCACTCCTCTTTCTCGCATTCCAGAACACTTTTATACGAACTTTCCGGACAGACCTCGTATACTTTGCAATCTTCATTATATCAGCCCTTAATAGTACACTGCTGGGCATAACCCTCCACTTTGAGGGGTTCTGCCAGTAATTCCCATGCTTGGCAGGTGGATTGGATCAGGCTTTAGAGATGTTTTAAGAGATTTTAAGAGAGATGCTACTGCCCATCCCTCGCCCTCTCTTGGACGCCTCTTACGACATCCACGGGAAAGGGAAGGGTGGCCTATTCTATGCCGGGACCACATGTCGGCTATAGTTTGCAATGACAACATACAATAACCAATATTTAGAAAGAAACGTACTGAAGTGCCAGTCAAACAATTAATGGAGGAAGTAGCCTTCGAGATAAAGTAATAAGCTCGAAAATGTTGCTGAATAGATGCATGCATTCATTTGCATGCCTCTATTTAGGATTATAGGAGATTAAAATACAAGTGACACCTATTTTTAACTGTGGACATAGTAAATCTATAATCTAGAATAAATGTTGGCAATGTATTGTGATAAAAAAAAATCTGATACTTAAGTCGACAATGTGGCAATACAAGTTACCCACTACGATAATAATAATAAGGACCATACAATAATACCAACGACTTAATTGAGGGACCATGGTATTTTTTTTTTAAATATTCACATATTCTCTCTTAAGGATAGGCGTTGGCAAACTAACTTCCAGCAGAAGCAAAGTCGACCGCCTTGGAATCCCAATCGTCTGAGATATTGTTTCAGACTGGTTGGGATAAGATCGATCACTGACGATTGGGATGATATCCGTGGATGTAAACCTCCACATTTCGGCCACCTCGTGAGCCTAGTCGAGATATGTCCCCTTTTTCTCGATTTCGACTTTCACGACGTTCTCGTCATGTGGTATGGTGACATCCACTAAAAACACCCTGGATTCATCACCATAACATAAGGTATGTTCGCTGGAACTGTCCTGTCTGTGATGATGGACGAGTTAGATTATTAATGAAGTTGAAGTAATTGTCTGCCCACAAATCAATATATGATATATACCACACCAGAGGGAGTCTTTGTACGAAAGTCGTTTACTCGGGCACCTCTATCCCACCATATTTCAACCGTGAAGCGGTTGTGTTTGCATGGCTGTGTTTCTGTTTGAAAGGTGGGATATGGCAGTGAATTTACTGGGTACAGAGGAATAAAGCCTGAGTCCTCAGGAATGGCAACGCATGGGAGGTATCATGTGCGAAACAGTACCCTCTGTTATGTCCATGGTACTACTCATGTCTATAGGCGACAGTTACCACTTTCCATCAGGTTGGCCGTCAGCTTGTTTGCCATTCTAAGTTGCATACAAAAAAATGAATTATTAGTATCAAATGCATACAGACCTGTATAAGCGACAGTTGCTCCATACTCTGACGTCGTACCCGCAGAGCGTTGAACGGCGTCCGCGGCGTCCTGTCCTCTTCTATAGAGGGCGCGGGCGGCGACTCTGCCTCGGCCGGCATTCCTAACACCTTCCGGAGGTCGCTGATGTTCATTTGAGCTGTCGCCATGCCAAGCACATCGCCGAGCTAGGAAACACACGCATTAATATATTAAACAATTCCTGTTAACACCCGAGTCTTCAGGAATGGCAACGCATGGGGAGTATCACGGGCGAAACAGTAATACTCTGTTATGTCCATGGTACTGCTCATGTCTATAGGCGACGGTTACCACTTTCCATCAGGTGGGCCGTGAACTTGTTTGCCATTCTCAGTTGTATAAAAAAAAGAAACATATAAACAAATATTTCCTCTTTTTAATATTGGTTTAAAGGGGGGAAAGGGATTGTTAGTAATGGAGACTGAGAATACCATTGCTAGCAATATACCCAACCAGGTCGATCTCCTCGTGGTTCTCCCTGGAAACTATCATGGTTAATTCCTGATGAATTCATCATGATGGGCTAACTGACCTGTTTTCATTCTCATCTATCACCTATCACTGGTGCTCCGCCAGCGTATACCGTTAGCGCAGGCGGGGTTACCATACCATTTTCTCCCATAAAAAAATATTGGTTTAAAATTATAGATAAGAAAAGAAATAAAATGAATAAATGGAAATATGAGAAATCTACGGTTGAATCGTAATTTAATTATTCCAAATGTCTAATAATGCTAATAAGAACAAACTTCACTGCGAGAGTGCATATGCTGCCAGGCTTCTAAAACTTCCAAAAAACATGTCATTTGTATTCGAGATCTCTATTATGATGGCATGCGACACTCTGGTGCATGCTTTTAGTCTCGCCAGGTATAATGGTACGATATTATGTAACTAATGAACAAAACATGTTTTCGGTTTTAAAAAACATAAAGACTACAAATAGATGCTAGATCAAGAGAGATGTTAAGCCTTTGATCCGACACGATAGCATCTGCCAAACGATTATATAATAACTTATATTTACCTACTTGAAACCCAAGGCTTTTGTCTCGGTCGTATGTTTGTACGTTACAGACAAATAAATATAACTATGTAAAAATAAAGACTTTAAAAATATGTTTAAAAAAAACCGACTTCAGCCGTAGCAAAACCAATTATTTTTATTTAAAAATTTATTACTGAACCGAATTTGATAAAATTTCCAATGAAGCAATCCGAAAGTATATACTTTCATGTAAAAAAATAATTTTCTAAATCGGTTTATAAATGACGGAGTTATGAGGTAACAAATATAAAAAAAAAATTAACAACCGAATTAAGAAGCTGCTCCTTTTTTGAAGTCGGTTATTACAGAGGTTATGATAGACACTCACCTCTTTAGATATATTATAATGCTCATTAGCATAATACAGGGCCTTCTCGTGGTTCCCCAGAGCAGCGTGAGCATTCCCCAAGGACCAGCACGCGCGGCCCTCCCCGACGCGGTCCTGGAGCTTCCTGGCGGCTGTCAGATGTCTAGCGTGGTATTCCTCCGCGATCCTGTATTCCCGCAGGAGAGTGTAGGTATTCCCGAGGGAGTAGCACGCTTGGGCTTCCACGGCCGCGTCGCCGAGCTCCTCAGCCAATGCCAGGGTTCGTCTGTTGAAGACATTGAAAATATTTAACATTATGGCGACCCCCGCAGCGCATTGATCTTGAGAGACGTTTCTGAAAATGGGATTTCCCATTTCATAAAAAGGTCCTGAGAATTGGCAGACAAGGCAAATGTGCCGTTAGATTCACAGTATAATAGACAGATAGATAGATACTCTTTATTATTACCTCCAAAAGATTACAATAGTAAACTTATTATAAATATAAACAATTACAAGAAATAATCAGAATATATGTATAATATGTATAACCATAATTTTTATAGAACAAAGCACTATAGGAAAGGAGATAGAATATACTTCTGTATAAAAATATATTCTAAAGGCATTATTTAAACATTTTTATCATCATCATCTCAGCCATCATCTGTCTACTGCTGAACAAAAGCGTCCCCCATAGACTGACACAAAGAACAATTCTAAGTCCCCTGCACTGACTCCCTGCAATATATATTTTTTTATACAACTTAGAATGGCAAACAAGCTGATGGGCCACCTGAAGGAAAGTGGTAATCGTCGCCTGTAGACATGAGCAGTACCATGGACGTAACAGAGTATATTGTTTCGCCCATGATACCCCCCATGCGTTGCCATTCCTGAGGACTCAGGTGTTAATCCTCTGTACCCTGTAAATTCACTGTCATATCCTACCCCTCAAACCGAAACACAGCCATGCAAACACAACTGCTTTACGGTTAAAATAAAAAATGGAACATAGGTATCCAAGCAAACGACTTTTGTACAAAGTCTCCCTCTGTTATTATATTTGAGGTTGTTACTCCATTTAGACGGGAGACCCACACAGCGATCGCCTGTACGAGGTCGCCACTCAAGAACTTTTCTTCCCCATCGGTTGTCGGTTCTTCGAGTTATGTGACCAGCCCATTGCCACTTCATCTTGTTTAATCTTTGGGCTATGTCGGTTACTTTGTTTTTTTTTTTTTTTGCGGACATTTTTTTTTTATTTTGTATTCTGTCACGCGAAGAAACTCCGAGCGTAGCTCTCCTAATAGCACGCTAAGTAATTTGAAGTTTTTGCATACAGGCAACCGTGTAGCACCATATTTTGGTTTCATAAGTCATCACTGGCAACACGCGCTGGTTAAAGACCTTCGTCTTAAAATTTTGAGATATTTTGGATGAGAATATGTGGCGTAGTTTTCCGAACGGTGTCCAGTCAAGTTGGATTCGTCGGTTGACCTCTCAATCGAAGTTGGACTTACCTCGTTGAACAAGTCTCAGGTAAACATATTCGTCAACAACTTCGAGTGTACTGTTTTCAATCATAACAGGTATAGATGTATCATAGACGTTAGACATGATTTTAATCTAGTCCATGTTTATATTAAGATCTACCTGTTGAGAAGCACTACTGAGGTCATTGTACTATAGTATTCAAGTCCTCCAGAAATTCCGCTATGACTACTATATCATCGACAAATCGAAGGTGAGTGATGTATTCCCCATTGATGCTTATACCATATCTTTCAGTTCAAGAGTTTGAAAACATCTTTCAATGCAGCTGTGAAGAGTTTCGGGGGTATGACGTCACCCTGTCTTACACCTTTCTGCACTGGGATGGGTTTCGTACACTAGTTCTGTACTCGGATAGACATCCCAGCTTTATTGTACATACACTTCAATACTTCGATATACCTATAGTCAATCTGGCACCGCTGGAGGGACAGTAGTACTGTTCATGTCTCGACCGAATCAAAGACTTTTTCACAGTCCACAAACACCAGACATAGTGGCAAATTATATTCTTAGGTCTTTTGTACAATCTGCCGTAGCGCATATATGTGATCTATGGTACTAAAGCCTTTTCGGAAGCCAGCTTGTTCAGGTGGTTGGAAGTCATCTAGTTTGCGCGAAAGACTCTCGAAGCAGTGCGTAGACGCGATTCATAATTGATATCGGTCTATAGTTCTTAAGAGAGTATTGTTACCCTTCTTGAAGAATAGGACTACCGCACTTCTGCTCTACGCCTCGGGGGTAACATCGTTATGGATGTTACCCCCGAGGCTATGGTTTGCCACCTGTTCTCAGAAGCCCTGCTGTAATTCCGTTCTCCTCTGGTGTCTTCCCTTTTAAGCTATTTGAGATTCATTTTAATCTGCAAACTGACGTCAGAGATATCATCGGTATAGTGTCGGGGGACTTTAGCTCTTTGGTCGTTATTCGCATTGGTACGCGGTGTTAACGACGTTGTGTACAGCTGTCTATAGAACTTCTCAATCTCAGCCAAAATCTCAGATTCGGCGGAAATTATATGACTGGTGTCGGTCTTCAAGTTTGTCAGTTGGCTTCGCCCAATAGCCAAATCTCTGGCGAACACTTCGGAGCCTTGGTTCAGCTCTATTGCCTGTTCAATGCATATAGTATAGAACTAGCCTATATCACGCCGTATACATTTGGAGATTTGCCTATTGAGCCACCTATATTGTAGACGTTGAAGACTGGAACCAAAATTCACACCTTTTCCTCATAAAATGTAGCTTGTGATCAGAGAGTTTTTGGATTCTTTTTGAGCGTTGGGGCTTGCGAAATTTAGTTCCACTGAACTTGGATAGTTTTCACTAGCTTATTGTTGACCATTTCTTGAAAACTTACACAAGATTCCTTCAACGTTGGCAATACACATGTGACAACCCTAGTGTTGCAAATATATGGGCTTTGGATAGCCATTTACAGTGGACCGTAAACTCATACTATATTACCACATTATTATCATCGTTGTATATAAAAAAAAATACATTACAGAGTATAAGGAAAAAAAAAAGAAGTCACTAATAAAAAAAATATATAAACAAAATCATGTAACTAACCGCGTATGCGAGAGGGGAAAGGGATTGTTAGCAATGGAGTTCGACATTGCTAGCAATATCGAATCAGGTCGACCTCCACGTGGTTCCCCCTGGAAACCATCGTGAACAATTCTTATTGAATTCGTCACGATGGGCTAACTGACCTGCTTCATCCTCACCTATCATCCTTCACTGGTGCCCCGCCGGTGTATATCGATAACGCGGGTGGGGTTACCATCCCATTATCATCCATTAAAAAAAAAAAACCGCGTATGCGAATAATAATACTATAATAATAACCTTATCAGTATTATAAAGTTCAGTTCAGATATTTCGCCAATGACTTACATATGTTGGCATAAACAAATATTCACTGATACATATTCAATGAATTCGAATATGTCGCAATAGTAATTCGCATTTATATATAACACTAGGAATTGACGCACGCCACGTTTCATAAGGGGTAAGCAGAGCATGAACGAATTCTCTCTTATATATTCAGCTTTCTTCGTTTTTATATTATTTATTTATCAACAAAGTCCCTTTTGAGGTAGGCAGAGAGAATAGGGTGCGAATGGGAGAAACACCCAGTTAAAGGCTAGATCAATTGTTTGGTATATTTATTATTTCCCACTTGGTACCGTTGCTAGCATTATTTATTTATTTATTTACACATACAGTGATAATATAAATTATACATATTACATATAACAAAACAACATAATAATAAAGATTACACAATTATATAATAACATTACTATTTTACTTTTAATTTTGAATAAAAGAAAAAACTTATAAAAAACAAAATGAATGTAGCAGTGTTTGTGCAAAGGACTGCTAACTCAGCATATGTCGCAGTTTCAAATCTGAAGATATTTCAGTCGTTACTTGTCCATAGCCGATCTTAGCCTGTCTCTAAAATGCCATAGAGTTTTGAGCCACCTGCATCCACTGACATCTTGTAATACACCTAACAAGCACACTAGGCCGGGGGGAAAGGGATTGTTAGTAATGGGGTCTAACAGCCCCGATAGCAATATACACAGTATCAGGTCGACCTTGACACGGTTCCCCATAGAAACTATTCGTTCATCTTCACCTATCATCCCTCACTGATACCCTGCCAGCACATACTGATAGCACAGACGGGGTTACCATTCCATTTTCACCAATTAAATTACTTTTCATCAGATGGGCCCTCAGCCGTTTACAATTCTAAGTTGCATAAAAAAAAAACGTTCGTCGTCGCCGCTTCACTTAGCTGTGTTCATTTTCACTCGCTGTAATATAATATTGACAGCACCTATATGCAATAAACCAATTCGCTTCGCATATCGTTCATGCACTGAATTTTCATTTAATGTAAGACATAGACACCTATATAAATATACATTGTAAATAAACTGGCTTTAAAAAAAAAAAAGTAATTCAATTGAGTTTCTTGCCAGTTCTTCTCAATTGGATCTATATACCGAACTGGACGGTAGGGTAAATATAAAATTATAATGTAAAAATTTGACGTTCATAAGCGGCTAAAATGTCCTACATGAATAAATGATTTTTGAATTTTGAATTTTGAATTAAAAATACATTACAACAATATATAATAACGTTCGCAAATATGTATTAACAAATAATTGTATTATCAATCCTTAAATTATAATTCAAACATAATAGTATTAATCTAGTTTTATTTACATTAATTTCATCTGTATCCATACATTTTTTTTTCAGCAAAAAAGCTGACGGCCCACCTGATGGAAAGTGGTAACCGTCGCCTATAGACATGTGCAGTACCATGGACATAACAGAGTATACTGTTTCGCCCACGATACCCCCCATGCGTTGCTATTCCTGAGGACATTTCTTTTTTCAATAATTATTTTTAATACACTATTGCAAAAACAATTGTCCAATTCAGTTCAGAATTGATGAAAACATCGCGTAGCATACACGCACAAAAAATACAGACAAATTGAGAAACTCATCCTTTTTGAAGTAGTAAAACTCTGTAAATATAGATATATATTATAATAATAATAATATATTTGCTGAAAAACACGGTATACAGATGGTAGTAACAATATGTTAGGAACAGGCGTGTTTTGCCCAAAACAACGGCATGCAAAATTTTTATATTTATGGTAATTTATTTTTAAAATACTATTAACAAAATATTATATATCTGCTTATAAAGTGAATTTATTTCCTAGTCTAACAAATCTTTAATTGAATAATAACACTTGTCCAAAAGCCATTTGTACAGTGGGCTCTTAAATTGTCTCAATGAATATTGGTACATGTAGCTACATTCACAGCTCTCAGAACGAGTGAGTTATGATGTAACGCACATATTGCATACGTAATATAAATAATTAATAATGCAATTTATATACGTAAGCGAGGTGCTTCGATCGTTATGGCCAACTCATTAATGCTATTATGCAAGTAAGTACCAAACATTCGCCTGAGTATCACGTTAAAGTGCCTATTGTATCACTGCCTTGTTCATGCACGATCTTGGTATTGTGGTCGCGGATTCGATCTCCACATACGGTAAAGTAAGTAGTACACAGGATAGCCTGATTAGGAAACAGGTACTAACATCTATGGACTGACCAGGACCCACAGACCTGACTAAATTCAGAGAATTTTTTTTTCTTAAATTTGGCTTACTGGGAATCGCACCTAGGACCTTATCTATACAAAGCAACTTATCTACTACATCGCCACGAAGGTAGTGTATTGTATGCCTTTAAAACAGTTCCTATTTTAATTCTAATTATTTGAAAGTTGTAGAAAAGAACCGTCATGGTAAACATCTTTCAAATTTGCCATGATAGACTGACCTGATTTCATCCTCCACTGATTTCCCGTCATTGTGTACAGTTAGCATAGGCGAGTGCACCATTTCATCTCCATCTGTTTAAAAAATCTAGTTATTAACAAGTATATAAAATGACTTATACCCACTTGTAATGTTCAGCAGCGTTCTCAAACTGTCCGAGGAATATATGAGAGTTGCCGAGGTTGCTGTTCGCGCGACGCTCAGCCGCCTTGTCACCGAACTCTTGAGCAATCTGCAACCGCTCCGTGTGGTAGCGGATGGCGCGGGCGAAGTCGCCTAGGAGGTAGCAAGTGTTGCCGAGGTTGCCGCACGCTCGACCCATCGCTTGACGGTCGCCTAAACTACGCATCAACTCTAGATTCTCTCTGGGGACAAAAGACTTAATTATTATAATTTAAAAAATTTTACCTTTTATTTAATTGCTTAATATGTGACCACACGATTCTGAATGAACACTGAAATAGCGGAATTAATAAACATTTACAGTAAACAAGTAGAAAACAAATATTCTCCACTTTATGTTTGGACATACTATGCTGACTCGCTACATATATTTTAATTATAAACATGTCATTTTTAGGGAATAACACACAGTTGATTCGAATGCAACTAACTAAGCATGGAAGAATGCTATATAGCATTAAATCCGCCTTTTGTACCAGACATTTTTTTTGTAATGTGGTCAATAAAGAATAAATAGATAAAGTAAAATTGTACGCTTGTAAAGGCAACAAAAAGGGCAACATAAATGGCCAAATAAAAATTTGGCCCTTTACGTTGTAAATGAAAAAAAAAGGCACATACTAAAAAAGACAAAATCACAATATACTAGCACAATAAGCAGTTTGCATGGCCAACTAAAGACATAGACAATCAGAAAATGCCTACATATTTTCCTTTATAAAGTCTAATTTATGATCGGGAATCAATTGTGTGCTCAATTCATAATATGACGCATTGACGACGATACGACCTACTGCTAGGTATGGAATATATAAGGATAATAGTTGCTTTTATCACACTCACCAGCCAGTATGTTTGTTTTAAAACAACATAGAATGGCAAATAAGCTGACTGCCCACTTGATAGAAAGCCGTAACCGTCACCTATAGGTATGCTTAGCACCATGGACACATCACAGAAGAAAGTATGGCTATTTGCCCATGGTACCTCCTCATACATTACCATGTATGAGAACTAAGATGTTATAACTACAAACCCTGGGGGAAAGGGATTGTTAGTAATGGAGACTGAGAATCCCATTGCTAGCAATATACCCAACCAGGTCGACCTCCTAGCGGTGCGCCCTGGAAACTATCATGGTTAATTCCTGATGAATTCATCATGATGGGCTAACTGGCCTGTTTTCATTCTCATCTATCACCCTTCACTGGTGCTCCGCCAGCGTATCCCGTTAGCGCAGGCGGGGTTACCATACCATTTTCATCCATCAAAAAAAAAAAAAACTACATACCCTGTAATTTCATTGTCATGTCTCGAATGTCAAACTCAAACATAGCAAAATAACCAAATATGCAAGCAAAGTTTAAAGGCAGACACAGAAGTGGGACAGAGTTACCTGTACAGGCTAAAAGTAAAGAAGGAAAGGAGATCTAAAAGATATTATATTATAAAGATATGTTTCTCTTACAGTTACAAAATTGCAATGAAGTTTTAAGTTTCAGTAATTGAAAATACATACAAATTTTATGAATTAACTCACTCGTAATATTCAACCGCCTGCATGAGGCAGTCTCGGACCTCCTGCGGAAAGTGACCGGGGTCGTTTTGACCAACTCTGCCCAGCTGCTTGCCTTGAGCATGGTACACATTTCCCAAATTGTACAACGCTCGACCCTCACTCAGACGGTCACCGAGAGCCCGTGAGATTTCCAAGTGACGTTTGCAGCACTGAATGGCCTCAGCAAACTTGCCCATCACTTTGAGTGTGTTCCCGAGATTTCCAGAGGCTTTTGCCTCGCCTAATTTATCATTCATTGTCCTGTAGAAACAAATTTGAATTATTGACATTATAAATTTAAAATACTGACATTGTAAATTTAAAATATAGGTATTACAAATTTAAAGTAGTATCAAATGTTTTTGTATACAACTTAGAATGGTAAACAGGCTAACTGCTCTGATAGGAAGTCAGTCACAGTAACTGTTTTGATATGTTATATTTTCCAGCAAATAAATTCAGCTATAGTTATTTATTTAACTCAATAATTTTATAATCTATATAACCAGGGAAATCTGGTAATTCTGATATTGTGGGAATCAATTTTTTTATTACCGAGTTGATTGTAACAAGAATTTAATATAATTATAAGTTAGGGTATGAAATTACATAACTCTACAAATCTATTAAATTAAGAAAAACAATATATTAAATATTTTACTATTAAAATAATTTCAATTATGATTCATAATAATATTATAGTATATATTGGTGGTTTGTATTCACACACTTAAACTTAAAAATGTAAAGTAATAATAAAATTATTTAAAAGAGCAACACGCAAGTTTCTTGCTCGTTCTTCTTGTGATGAGACAGCTTTCCGAACGAGCGGTAGATTAACAAAAATGTAATGACTTTTCAAAAGTGCTTCAATGTAAGTTTATTTGAATAAATGATTTTCTATTCTATTTTCTATTCTATTCTATTAATAATTCACAGATTTAAAATTTTCTGTACAAATAGTCACTAACCTAGCTAGAGTCAAATCATGTTTGTGGTATTGCATTGCTTTGTTGTAGTCGCCAAGATAAAAATAAGCATTTCCAAGTTGGCTATAGATAGCGCTGAGGGTGCGCAAGTCATCGGTGCCAGCCTGTATGGCGGCCTGGAAGAAGGCGACTCCTGCACGACAATCGCCCGCCTTGCAGAGTCGCTCCCCCTCCAATGCGAGCTCAAGGCACATGGAGCCTCCATCACAACTCTGTTGACAGTTAATAATCTTCAAAGTATAAAAAGATTTCTGAGATGATGTTATGTATTTTGAAACTAACTACAACTAACTTAAACAAAAGTAAAATACCAATAAAAAGAAAATAAATGACAAATGGAATCTATTCAGAACTTCTGTTCTTTTGCTCCAATTAAAAAAAAATTTTTTAATTATAAATTATCATAATTCCAGTCCTACAGTGATTCAACCTATTCACCTAATAATTGATAGACTAAATACAATCCAATAATTAATATTATATTTAAAAAAAAAAAGATAAATATTATAAGCACATATGACAAATAACTAGGTCATATAAAGTAAAAACTCTCCTGACAAGTAATGACCTAGTCAACAAATTGTGTTATCAGCAATGTAATCAAGGGTCATCAGGTTCATTTACTCTTAGATTTCCAAAAAAATGCTACTCCACATATATAAACAATTGAAGAACGAGACAGAACAAAGAGAATTAGAATAATAAAAATATTACAAACAGCTTTACTGAATAATTCATAAGGCAATCTTGTTTTTGCAGTTTGTTATGTAGGGAAAACGGGAAATTGTGTAGCAAGATTATATATGAAGTGATTGGTACTAATACTAGCTATTCATAAAAATATTGTTTAGAACCCAGCACATAGTCGGATACCTCTCGGCAGTTATAGTAGACGTGACCAGTGGGTCACAATTTCCGTATTAGCACCCCTCATAATGAGTCATAATAAATTACTTATCATAAGGAAACTGCTTCATAAATATAAGAATAATGCGTAGTACCACCAAAATTGGATACCAACTAAAACACACATGGAAAACACGAGTGAATCACGATTTTTTTATCACAAAAGGGATCGTACCTGTGCATCGGTAGAAAGGTTCTCTGCACTCGCACTAACGGACATCTCCAGGAACTGATTGACAACACAATAACAAAAATAAAAAAAAAGAAATCACTATCAGTATATTCTCATAGTTAATGTTTTGATATTTTTATGTAGTTTTCTGGTATTTCTGGGCGTGTACGAGCGTTACAAATAGGGCAAACCAAACTGTACTATGTTACGTTCCGTTTCACGTTAACGAATAATTATACCTATTATTGTATAGCACACCCCAGAGCAAGTAATCACTATGTTACATAAGAGTTAACAGTGGCCTTATATTAACTATATTTGGAATATGAATGTATGTTACCTTTTCAAAACGATAACACAATGGATTAATAAAAATTCGTAGTGTTGTCACTAAAATATTAATATCGATTGTTATCATAAAAGACACAGCTAATTTATAACGTAAAATTTTCAAATTTTTTGAAAGTCATTTACAACAAAGCTGATATTTATGTATAATTACTATATTTTGCGGTACCTTAATTTTAAACCACACTTTTTGATAAATAAATACTGCAAATTATCCATGGCACTTTAAACAACAGTTACAAGTTTGATGCCGAAATAAATCTAAAAAAAGTTAATATTTAAAGAACACATGCGCACATAATATACGTATAAAATAAATAACCCTATTTATATATTATTATTAATTTTAAATGCTGATAATTTAAAAAAATTGGATATTACAAATATAATTAACCAATTATTCATGCATAAGTTTATATATTATTTGTCTTCATAATGTATAACTACTTATAATTCAATTTTGAGCTTATATTAATTAATAGTAAAACCATGATAAAAACAATACTAACAGATTTTGGTTAATTTTACAAGTTTATCAATATTGGTATTATACTATAACTAAATCACCTTTGTTATTATATGAGTAAGTAAATTCATTAATTAGATAATACATGCGAAGTTTATCTATAATATAACTACAATATATAACTACATTAATTTTATTGTTTATTTATCTGTTTCAATGAAAATAGTATTAAAAACACCGCTGGTTCTTTCTGTTATGTCATTCTGAACATAAATCGATTTACATTTTTATTTATTACTATATAATTTATCAAAATACAGATAGAAATGAAATAAAAATGAAGTGCTATTATTATAATGGTGCTGTAACTACAATTGTCATGGCGCCTATACAAGATGGCCATGATCCATCATGTATACGATACAAATTTTAGTATTGGCTAGAGATGGTAACATAGATATGTACAAAAAATATTTTAAGTGTTATAATGTACTATACAATTTTGACAGATGGTCCAAATCATCCATCGTTCTTGTACATAGATAAAGAATTATGTTTACAATCCATTCTCAAACTTTTTATTTTATTTCAAATTGACGTAGTTACATACAAAACAAGTGATAATAGTTTTTAAATAATCGGAACATGTATTTAATATATTTAAAAATGTAGTTGACATAAATGCCAGTAAATATTTTGCCTCAACGTGTTTTCGTTCCACTTAGTTGGTATATTCCTTACATATAATCTTAGATTATAGGAACAATATTATGATAGTTATATAAATAATGACAACCGTGGGTACAATATATAATTTAAGAACAAGTTATGTAAATTAATTAGTAGAATGTGTGTAAAATTGTATAAAAGTGACAAGTTATTTCTTTCGAGGCAGCGTTTCATTTAATTCTTTTTTACTGTTTATCAAGATAGAAATCAGGAATACAGAGCAAGTTAACTTCATTATTTTTTATGATAATTTTATATTTTTTATAATTTAAGCATACTATATTATTCTTTATCTACATCTACCATTATGTCATTTAGCGGATTATTTAAAAATGTTATCCAACAGTTATTAATAGGTATTATGTAAAAAGTCTTGTTATATCTTTTTAACGAAATAACTGTGCATGTGAAAAAAAAAAGATCCTTTAAGCTGGTAATAATCATGTCAAATATAAAAAAAAAAAACAATCTTCTAATTATGTATCTTAAAAATAGATAAAAGTTTCTAACTAGAACTTATTAATTTTAATTATTATCTAAACTGTGATTATATCTTTATTCGATACGGTTAATACCTTTTATCGATTTTATTATTATCCCAGACTAAATTAAATATAGATAAATTTACATTAGCGATAGCATCAATCAATACCTTCATTATTTCTTTATAGATTAGCCGACTTTGAATTGAGAATAAAAGTAACTGATAGTATATCTCTCTTCCTCTTTTTGCTAATTATATTAGCATAAGAAGATTTAATGCAATCATTTGATTTACTGTTTTATTTTTCTTTTTATATAATTCTTGTTCTTAGTTAATTATTGAATAAAGAGAAACAGTAATAAACTAAGAGAATATCTTGGGAATAAACGTTAGTGCTGCCTCTGCAATGCGTTTTAAGAACTAAAATGACTAATGTGATTTAGTTCTATCAATTGCCACTTCATTGCTAGTGGTGCTGTTAAAGAAAAATGCATGTAATTCGTTGAAGGACTTTTTAAAAGATTATAGTGGAATGATAATTAGGCTTCCGTATTGATACAAGCTGCCTGTGTAAGGGATGAAAGGTAAGCAAAGAAAAAAGTAAGTAGCTATACAAGAGGATGGACAATAAATACAGCTTGCGCTACGGGTATACGCTGTATTATGCCAAAGGAAATTGTGGCTTTTTTTTATTCGGCGATAATGGAATGGTAACCCCGCCTGCTCTATCGGTATACGCTGGCGGGGCACCAGTGAGAGATGGTAGGTAAGAATGAAAGGGCAGGTCAGTTAACTCATCGTGATGAATACACCTGGAATTTAGCACGATGGTTTCCAGGTGGGATCACGTGGAGGCCGATCTGGCAGGGTATATTGACAACAACGGGGCTGGTAGTCTGCATTACTAACAATCCCTTCCCTTGACAGGGTATATTAGGTACCTATCGCTGTTTTTAATATTTGTCTTCAATCACAGTATTTGGTAAATCTTGTTACTATTTATTTCAATTTATATTTAATGTAATAAAATTGCTCTTAGTCATTGGAGATGTTTAAGAAGAATTGATAAGTATAAGAGCATTTGAAGCTCAATTATTTCTTAGAAATTTTATATATATAAAAATTAAAAATATAATAAAAAATAAAAGACTAAAGTACAGATAGCTGTACCTTTGTCTTGACGTCATGCAAAACAACTGCACCAAATAGAATGCGGTTTTAAAATATGTTTAAACAATGCGAAAGTTTAAAATTAGAAACAGAACACGTCCAGATTTTTTAAACCTTTTTGTATCTCTGTCCGTCTGTTTGTACGGGTTAATCTCTGAAACTGTAAGATCGATTTAAATGAAATTTTGCATGGCGGTACCTTATATCCCCGGCCAACATTTTGAATACTTTTAATCACGAAAAATTAAAGAGTTCTCGTGGAATAGTTAAAAATAAGCTATAGTAATTTATACAGCTTAGTACACGACCTACTTAAGTGAAGTCATTTTGACCAGAAATTTGAAGGCAAAGAGTGAGAACGACACGTCATATGTCCATTTTGATCCAGTATTCTCAGCCATAATAAATAGGTAGGTACATACACCAATACATACTAAACTTACAAATCTGTGAAAATTTCGGCCCTAAATTTTGGCTTTCTCCATACCGCGCGGACAAAGTCGCGGGCGTCAGTAAGTTTATTAATAAATATCTACATTTATTTAAAAGTAACTCTGATATTAAAGAAAGTAGAAGTAAACTTAATTAGAAACCACATGTTTCTCAACAGAGAAAAGCAAAGGGAGACTTTATAAAAAAGTCGTTTGCTTGGGTACTTCTGTCCTATTCGTGTTTCAACCGTGAAGCAGTTGTGTTTGCACGGCTGTGTTTCCGTTTGTAGGGTGGGATATGGCAGTGCATTCACAGGATACAGAAGCGTAACACCTTAGCTCTCAGGACAGGCAATGCTTGGGGGGTATCATGGGCGAAACAGTATACTCTGTTATGTCCATGGTACTGCTCATGTGTATAGGCGACGGTTACCACTTTCCATCAGGTGGGCCGTCAGCTTGTTTGCCATTCTAAGTTGTATAAAAAAATAAACAAAGATTAGCACTGTTTTCAAAATGTGTATACTGCATGGTTTTGTAAACTTATACAATGATTTACGAGATAACTTCAGTAATTGAAATATATTATTAAATAAATGTAATTATTCGATGTAGGAATATTTAAATGACAAAATACGTACGTGATATAAATATGATAAGATTTAACGATTTTTTTTGCAATGTAATATTTATTGTTATAATAATTCAGATACTTAATGTATAGCAATGATGAATTAACTACAAAAATAATAATCAGAAACGGCAGGACATGTTTAAGAAATTTATTGTAATGTAACATAATTTTGTACCCATGTTCAGATAAATGAATAAATTAAATACGACGAAAATCCCAAGTGACTACAGCATGGGGTTTTCAAAAGGGGGGTAAAGAGGATTCTTCAGGGTCGGCAACTCGCGCGTAATACCTCTGGTATTGCAGACGTTCATAGGCTACGGTAACCGCTTACCGTCAGGTGGGCCCTATGCTTGTTTGCTACCTCAGTGGTATAAAAAAAAAAATTAAATAGTGTTCATTTAAAATATTCATTTAATAAGTTGGTTAAATATTTGAATGATTAAATACTCAAGTGTAGGTACTTTTTATATAACAATGCAATACACGCTGCTGACTCTGAAAAAGATAACTACGTTACAGGAGGGAGGCGGTGGGGGATCAACTGAAGAGGGGGCGACAGGGGAGGGCCGCCAGGGCCAGAGGGGGCCTCGTTAACTATGCAAATAGCACGGGTGCGGGCGGACTGTCGGCAGCTCACAATCTGATCGGCTACCACGCCCCTTCGATGTATAGATGGATAGACAGCAACCTCTGTAATGTGGGTGCCTACGCATGCAAGTCCTCTGTGCGGAAAAGAAATAGGATTATCAATATAAAGTTTTTTTTTTAATCAATTCTTTACTACGTATTGAAATTGAAGTAAGTGATGGTCCATATGATGAAAGATATGTCGGCTAGCGATGACTATACATGTTAGATTTGCAATGACTTTAGATATTATACGAACAGAACTGTTGTCACATGTTTAATGAATCCGGCTCGAAGGACTTAATAGGAAATTTACTAGAAATGTGGTGTAAAATATACTACAT